CCACTTACATCTACCTCACAGGACAAACACAACTGCTCCGTCCACTGCCATCCATCCGGGCTGAGGGTTCAGAGACACTCAGGTGTGGGAGCTGCAGCACAAATGGACATGAAGAGTTGGGCAGCCCAAGCCAAGTGTCTCAGCCCCTCTGAGTAAAGCCTAAGTCCTCACCACCTCTCAGACCTCATTCCTCCTCGTTCACTCCCAAACCTATCTACTACAGGGCCTCTGCACCAGTCATTCCCTCAGCAGAGAACTCCTTCAACACAGCTCTTCCACAAGCCATCCTTAACCACCCCAGGTGGAGGTCTCACTGCTCTTCTCCTCCTGCCCAGCACACAGTGGAGAAGTCACTCTCCAAACCAGAGAAAGCTCAGACTTCTCCACCCAACTCCTGGCAAACAGACACAAGTGGGCCAGACTGGAGCTCCCTCCCATCATTTGTCATCAAGAAGGAAACTGAGGTTCCAAGGGGACCAAATCCCCCAGCTGGACACAGTTGGTAGGAGGTGTGGCTGGGGCCCATCCTGGGTAAATCTTTCTCTGAGGCTACCAGCCACCTGGCCTCAGATTGACTGCCCTGTCTGCCCTCATCCCTTCTGTGCTCTGGCACTGGGATTGTGCCCCAGGCAGCTGGCCCTTTGAGTTACAGCTCGGCTGCCTTCCTTTGTTTAAAGCCTTTCTCACAGACAACATGGGGGTCAGAGGTCGAAGGTCAAAACCGCACACCTGGCAAAGCCCACTCAGCTTTGTGGTTCACAGTTGGATGCTCCGAATCACTGAGGGCAACAACATTCCTGCAGGAAAAATCAAACAACCCTGAGACCCTGCTGGGCCAACCCATTACCCCAGAACCAGGCACCTCACCACCGAGGGACTGGAAGAGGCCCCATAAGGCCTGGTCAACTTACAAATGATGCCCCAGGCCCTATGTCCATCAGCAAGTTAAGGATAGAGCCCCAGCCAACCTGGGCCAAGGACTGAGCCACCCTACCATCTGGCTCCCAGAGAACATGACTGGAAGTCCTACAACCAGGAACAACCATTCTCAGCCCAAGGACTCCACAACAACAAAGCTGGACACGTGCGCTCTACCAGCTAATGCTCACACAACTCAAGAGTGTTAGGTACTCAGAGAAGCCCCATTTTACAGAGGGAAGAAACTGAATTGGCTTCCTTAAGGCCCCAGCACTAGGAGAGAAGCACACCCAGACCCATCTGACCCCTAACCGGTGGTTTTCCAAGATGGTCCATTTGAAGTACTAGTTGTCTTTCAAAGCAGAGTCTCCCAGGGAACCGAATGTCACAGATAAGACCACGTGCTTAGACCAACTCGAGATGTCTTCTGAGTGATGGGAAAACAGAGTTGTTTTTATCTGTACTTGAATTTTTCTAACAGCTTCCCTTTGTCTCTGGAAGACAATGCCAACTCCTTGCAGTGCCCTCAACCAAATACACTCCTCACTCCTCCTCTTCCCTCTCGGTGTTCCAGCATGGTGGTCTTTTTTGTTCTTTCACCTACCTCAGGGCCTTTTTGCTCATACTGTTCCCTCTGCCTGGGACTCTTACTTAGGGTGAAGATCTCAGCCCAAGAGTCACCTCAACATACGAAATCAACAATTCAAACTGTGGTAGTGGTGTAAGGGTGGACACACAGGTCTAGGGAACAGAATGTAACCCAAAACACTGTCTCATGCACACAAAGATGGATGCTGGAGCTAGGATGATGGTGGCACTGCAATCCACTAGGGACAAGCTGGTCACATCCACAAAGCAAATGGTGCCAGAACAATGGAATACTCAGATGCAACAGAAGAACTGAGACCCCATCTTCCTCATACCACACACAAAAGATAATTCGAGATGCATCACAGTCTAAAAAGTGGAAGGAAAATACCTTCAGGACGCCGGGGAGGCAAAGTGTTCTTAAACAGGATATAAAAAACACTGACATAAAAGAAATGGAAAACCTGGCCTTCATCAAAACCAAATATCCCATTAAAGAAGTAAAAGGCAACCCACAGAGCAGAAGATATTTAACAATGGGAAGGAAGTATATCCTGAATACATAAAAATATTAAAGTTCCTACAAATCAACTGAAAAAAAAAAAAAAACAAAGCAGACAACTCAATAAAAATAACAGTCACTCATCACAGCAGAGAACATGCCAGTGGTCAGCAAACAGACGAAAAGCTGCAGAAAGCTCGGGAGTCAGTGGGGAAATGCACATGGAGGCCACACCTACCAGAGAGGCTGGAATGAAAGGCTCTATCTAGGTCTGCAGTGCTGGCTGCTGAGGACTGGAAGGGCTGGAGCCCTCTCCTACTGCTGTTGGGAATGCAAAATGGTGCATTTGAAAAACAGCTTTCAATCTACCCAAGAGAACTGAAAGCATAGGTCCACACAAAGACTTAGACACAAATTTCCCAACACCTGGAATTATTGTTAGGGTATGTCAAATTGGCCCCCTACTCAAGGCGACCCCACAAACAGTGGAATGAAACATTGCCTGGTCCTGCATCATCTCCCATTACTGCTTGTGGAGCAGACTGTTGTAACCCACAGGGGTTCATGGGCTGGTTTTCAGACCTAAGCCTTTCTTCCTAACCCAACTTAGTATGGAAGCTCAGATGAAACTTTTGTCACAGAAGCCTCCACCAGTTGTGAATGAAACCTGAGTTTCTCGCATGGAAGGTGAGAACTGTCCTGCTAAGCCACCTCTGCGCCACTACTGCCCTCGTTGGATGGAGCTGTTTCCAGCAATCCAAAGGCACAGAGTACACGAGGAATTATAAACACACTGAAATAAAGGAAGCCAGGAACAAAGGGCACTTCCACGGCACTTAACAACAACAACAACCCAAAATTCACAACAGGGAAATCTAAATTACCAGAGGGTAGAGGTGTGGGGCACTGGCTTGGAGGTTTCAATGCCAAGTCCCTCAGGATAGGAACTTGGAAACATACTGAGAGCTGTGCTCGCAGGAGCACTAACACATTTTTTTATTGTTATTAGGTGTTATGGAATTGGTTCCAACTCATAGCGACCCTGTATAGGGTTTCCAAGCAGCAGCTGGTGGGTTGCAATTGCTGACCTTCTGGTGCAAATCGACCTTGTGTTCCTGTGCTTTAACCTTTGTTGCTATTGATGTTAAGTGCCGCCGAGACTATTCTGACCCAAAGCGACCCTGTATAGGGTTTCCAAGGAGCAGCTGGTGAGCTTGAACCACCGACCTTGCAGTTCAAACAACTTTGTGGTCTGACGCATTCGCCCACAGCACCACACCAGGGCTCCTGCTTAACCTAGGGTATACCTATTACACCACACCCATTTAAAAAAAACCTACTGCTATCAATCCTGCCTCACAGCGACCCGATGGGGCAGAGTAGAACTGCCCCTTGGGATTGCTGAGACTTTAAATCTTTATGGGAAAACAGAACCTCATCTTTCTCTCTTGGAGAGGGGAGTGGGTTTGAACTGTTGACTCTGTGGTTAGCAGCCCAATGCATAACTCGCAGTGCCACCAGGGCTCCTTATTACACCACAAAGACTTTAGAAGGTTACTCACACAGAGTGTTCTCTAATCCCACCAGCCACACACCACCAACAAACGGCCCTCAGGCAATCTCTCAGAGGACCCCGATTTTTCTGGAGATCACACAAAACAATTTATAATCCTACGTTCATTCAATTGTCCCCACTGACCCACTAGCTCTCCCCAGATACCAGAATGTGCCTAACACACAGTAAAGGTATGATAAATGACACATCAAAGCAAGGAATGAATGACTACCAGTCTCCTCTCCCTGACTGTGCGCCCCTCAGGGCTGGGATCCAGTCTGCTTTGTTCATACTCAAGCACAGGCCCTGCCTCCAGCACACAGTAGGACCACAAAGGCAAACCAGTCATTAAATAAAAGACATACAGCCCCAACACCTTGATGTGGCTGAGTCAAAGATGGAGAGAGCAGCAGGTATGTACAAAACCTCAAGTGCAAGGTTGGAACTAAATCGATTGCACAAGAAAATGATATTTTTAAAATGTAAACAAATGAAACTGTTACAACACGTGGGTGGTGTGACAATTTCCACAGCAGTTTCGAACCCCTCAACTCTGCACTCCCCTGTCCCTAGCTCACGTAACACCTATGTACTAATTAAAAAGAGTCTTTGGATATTCTACAAAATCCTTGACCAACATCCGCCCCCAAAATTGCCCAGGCTGTCCAAACCAAGGACAGTCAGACCAACTGACTACCCCAGATTTGACCACTACATGTAAAGCCTCCTGGAAGGGATCCCAGGACAGAAAAAGGACATGGAGAAGCTGAAGCTAGTGAAATCCCCAGACACTGGGTTCAGCTCACAGTACTGAACCAACGCTGGGTCCTTAGTTGTGCCCAGCATACTGTGCTGCTGCTGCTGCTGCTGCTGGTTGCTGTGGAGTCAACTTTGACTCAGGCCACCCATGTGTGCACAGAAGAACTGCTCATCAGGATTTTCAAAGCTGGGACCTTTTAGAATGAGACTACTAGGCCGCTCTTCCTAAGCACCTCTGGGTGGGTTTGAACCACCAACTTCTGACTAGTAGTCGTGCTTAACCATTGACACCACTGAGGGACTCCTAAATGTACCATACCCACTCAAACTCTCCACTGTGGAGTCGATCCCGACTCGGCGTGACCCTGTAATAGGGAAGCAGAACTGTTCAGTCGGGTTCCAAGACTATAAATCTTTACAGAAGCAAAATATCTTATCTTTGCCATACAGAGCGCTGCTGGAGGATTACAGCTGCCAACGTTTCTGTTAGCAGCCAAATGCTTTAACCATTGCACCACCCATCAACCATGACCCATTGCCACTGAATGGATTCTGACTCACAGGACAGAATAAGACTACTCCTCAGTAAATCTTTAACAAGCAGCTGATGAGTCTGAACCATCCCCACGTGGCAGGCATGCGGTGGGCAGGAGCGCAGTGCGCGGCCTAAGCACTCACCTTGGGCGGGTCGAAGAGCTCCAGCACAGACTCAGGGGTGCCGTCCGGGCCGCAGGCGCGGCGTAGGGCCAGCCGTCCACGCTGCCAACGCACCCCACTATCCATGGAGACCTCATCAGCCAAGCTATAGCGCAGCACTGCGTCCCTGACAGCCTCGGCTGGAGGCTCCCTGGCCAAGCTCCAAGGCAGGAGCTTCCTGGAGAGGATGGGTCGGGCTGGGGCCTCGCCCGCCTCGCCAGTGGCACAGGCTCCGGGGACTCCAGGCAGCTCTCCGGCCGAGCGGCGGCGGAAGAAGTGGCACAGACTTCGGCGCAGGTGCTGGAGCGCACAGGACCCTGGCGGCCGCGGAGGGGCCAGTTCCTCGGAACTGCGCGCCTTGGGCAGGCCTGGCACGGCGGGACACGCAGCTGGCTCGCTAGGGCCCGTCTCGGCCTTGACCGGGGGCCCGCGGCCGGTTTCACGGTAGTCCCGTGCTGGGGGTACAGGTACGCGACCTTCGCGCACCTCGCGGCAAAAGTAGCGCTGGAAGAGGTCGGTGAACTGCAGAGAGACCAGCTCGGCCCGCAACGGCGCGTGGTGAGGGTGATCCCGAGCGAAGAGCCAGTACTGGCGGGCCAGCTCACGGGCCGTAGCTACTGCATGCAGTTCACAGAACTCGCTCCAACCACGGGGTGGTGGGGGCGCTGCGGCCGTGGCCGTGGCCGATGACAAGGGGGCAGAGGACGCGGAGGATGAGGAAGAGGAGGAGGGCGAGGAAGGTTGCAGGGTGGGCCCGTTCATGGTGGAGAACGAGGGGGAGTGGCCAGGCTGAAATACAAAAGGAGGAGAGCAGGAATGAGCACATAGGAAGCACAGAATTACTTCAAACAACAGCCGACATCATAAAAAAAAACAACAACATGAAAACACAGATACTATGTAGTGCTGGCGAAGATGCCGTGAAACACTTCCCCCCTGCAAGGTTGCTGATACTGAAGGACAAACTGGCAGGATCGATGATTAAGCATTACAATTCACTATTAGCTATTCTTGCTCATTTGCACAGAGGTATGAATGAGAACACGTCTCACAGACGTTTCCTGCCAGATTTTATCACGGGGATAAATGTTCATCAATAAGGAAAAGATCTATAGGAATATTCTGCACAAATGAGAAAGGATATGGAACATGTATGCTCCCACCTTGACACTCTGTTAAGGAAAAAAGCAAACCACAAACCTTTAAAACTCTATGTCTATATACGTACACATGCATGCAAAACGAAACTACCAATTTTAATATGCAAGTCAATATACAGAAAACCCACTGCCATCGCTCCTAGTAACCCTAGAAGACAAGAGAGTACATCTCCTTAGGGTTTCTGAGACTAAATCTTTACTGGAGCAGACAACTTCAGAGTGGCCAACCGTGTGTTAACAGCCCAATGTTTAAAGCACTGAGCCCCCAGGGGTCCTTAAATGTACAGAAGTGGGTTAATGCGCTGGACTGCAATGTTGGTTTAAACCACACAGTTAGAGGTTCAAGCTCACCAGCTGCTCCTCAGAAATCCTATACAGAGTCACTATGGGTCAGAGCAGATTCAATGGCAATTAACAACAACAGATTTAAATACAGGCAAGAAAGGTCTGGCTGGAGTAAACCCATCCAGAAACAGCAGTCTCGGGAGAGGAATCCAAATTGGGGTGCAAGTGAAAGTCTCCAAGGAATTCTGTTAACTACCTCTCTAGAGAATAAGGTGATGAACAGGGATTCTGGGGTTGGGGTCAAATCCCAGCAATATCATTTGTTAGAGTGTAGTCTTGAGGGAGGTTCCTTAATTTCTTTTGGCCTTAGTTTCCCCACCTGTAAAATGGGGAATATAATTGTACTATCTCACAGAGTGTTATAATGATTGAGTAATCACAAGGAAGCTTCACAAATTACTTGGGCAATGGAATTGAAAGATTATGGTATTTTTCCACGAGCGTTCGTTTCCATGAACCTAAACATTTTGAAACCCGTCATACATGTAAAGGCTTTGCTGTTGTTAAGTGCCACCCAGTCAGTTCAGACTAGAAGTATAGGGTTTCAAGGAGCGACTGGTGGGTTTGAACCTCCGGCCTTGTGGTTAGCAGTCAAGTACCTATCCTACAGTGCCACACCAGGACTTCTGAAAAGGCTTTGTTGTTGCTGTTAAGTGCTGCCCAGTAGGTTCTGACTTCTAGCAACCCTGTATTGAGTTTCCGAAGAGTGAATGGTGAGTTTGAACCACTAACATTGTGGTCCAGGGCTTCTCCTACAGTGCCATACTGGGACTCCAAAAAAGAAAAAAAAACCTACAGTACTCAGTATTACCAGGCAGTCTCTCGTCCAAGTACTAACTAGGCCCGACCTGTCTTAGCTTCTAATATTATATGAGATCGGACACATTCAGGGTGATAGCCATAAAGGCTTTGTTGTTGTTGTTAAGTGCCGTTGAGTTGGTTCCAACTCACAGGGACCCTGTATAGGGTTTCCAAGGAGCGATTGGTGAACTTGAACCTTGTAGTTCAAACAGCTTTGCAGTCTCGCGCATTAGCCCACAGCGCCACACTAGGACCCTAGCAAATGGGGCAATGGGTTAATGCGCTGGACTGCAAAGTTGGTTTGAACCACAAGGTTTTCAGTTCAATCTCACCAGCTACTCCTCAGAAACCCTATAAAGGGTCGTTATGGTCGGAATCAACTCAACCAACACGTAACAACAGCAACTGTTCTTCCGTAGTCCTAGGATTGCAGTCGAGTCAAAATGCTCCATTGCAAACCGAAAAAAAGATTGGAGATTCCAGTCCATCCAGAGGTGCCTCAGAAAATAGTCCTGGCGATTCACACCCAAGAAATCAGCCACTGAAGATTCTATGGAGCAAAGTTCTCCTTGGACTCTCTTGGGGTAAGCCATGAGTTGGATTTGAGGGCAACTTGGTTTTTTTCATTGTGATAAATGAATAAGAAGGAATAAAGTAACAAGACTCCCAAGAGGTACAAATGTCTTTCCTGCTCTGAATCTCAGGACTGGTGCAGACCCTCACCTGCCTTCCAACCCTCCAACTGGTCCTTCTTTAGGTCAAATATGGTCAAAATGGCACCAAAGTCCACCACAGAGCACTCTGGTTATTCCGTCACTCCCAACATCTTCCTTTTTTACTCCCGCTGGCCAGCTCTGGTCCTCTCCAGGTACCTCTGTACCTGGCTTCCCCGTCAGAATGGGCACAAAGCGGAGCACACGGTGGCTTCCACACCCCACAAGGTTACCATGCCTTTCTGGAAGTGGCAGCAATCAGGGGCACAGACTGAAGGGCCACACTGGCCTGCACACGGTTCCCACCCTCTCACTCACCCCCAAAGTCTTACCCAGGTGCCTTGGTGCCTGGGTACACAAGTGGTTTGCAATGAACTGCTAATCCACCAAGGAGCCCTGGTAATGCAATGCTTAAATAGGTTGGCTATTTGAAACAACCAGCTGCTCTGAGGGCGAAGAGACCTGCGGGTTCATGCCCATAAGGATTTCTCACCTTGGGAACCCCACAGGACAGTTTCACTCTGTTCTCTTAGGTTACCAAGTAAGTGGAACCACCACAGGTAACCTAAACATTGGCAATTCAAACCTACCCAAGCAGCTCCATGGAAGAAAGGCCTGGCTAACTGCTTCCATACAGATCTGTGACTAGTGTTAAAGTGCCATCAGAAAACCCTATAGAGGTCTACTCTGTAACACATGGGGCTGCCCTGAGTCAGGGGCAGCTAACAACGGTCAACCCCAGCCCTGCCCGCCCCGCCCCTTCATTTACAGGGAAGGGACGGATATTAGTTGTGCGACCTCTCCCACCTGCTTGTCATTGTTAAGTGTCATTAAGTCGGTTCCGACTCATAGAAACTGTATAGGGTTTCCGAAGAGTGGCTTGTGAGCTTGAACCACCAACCTTGTGGTTCAAACCAACTTCTCAGTCCAGCAGGGCATTAACCCACAGCACCACACTAGGGCTCCCTGCCACCTGCCTAGACCACTCCACACCTCAGTTTCCTCTTTTGTCACACAAGGCTCGGGATGTCATAAGTCCCTGAGACAGGGCTCAAGACAGAGATTTGATCCCGGGATCCCCACACTCTCCATCGTGTTGGACAGAGCGACAAAACAGGGACAAGAACTGTGAGGGCTGCTCCCGCCACCTCTACACAGTGTCACGTGTGTACTTCTTCACTCCCCTCAGGGCCCGCACACTGTGGCGTCCTGTGGGTAGAAGTGGTGTTAACGCTGCTCGGACCACCATACTCTGCCAAGTAAACCACCCCTGGGGCTGAGCAGGCAGGGTCTAGCCCATGTGTGGGGGACAGGTCCTTAGTTAATCATGTGGCCTCCTCATGCCTTGACACACAATAGAGGGATTGGAGGGGAAGGAGGCTGGGGTCAGGCCTGGAGGTTGGCCCTAACCACTGTGTCTACTGCCTCTGCCTCGGGGCCTTTGTGTGAACTGTACCCTCTTCCCCGACTTTTTCCCAGCTCACCCTGTGTCCAGCTGAATTGAGACTCTTGTCCCTCAGCACACTAGGCAAACGTCAAATGGTCCAAACACAGGTTCAGTCCCTGCCTCTGCTACCTCCTCACTGTGAAGGAGTTCTGAGCCTCAGTGTTCCCATCTGTCAAACAGGCTGATGTTCTCTTGGAGTTGCCTCGGAGCATTCAGGTGTGGCAGAGCACCTTTGCAGAGCGCTTGGCACTGAGTCGTTTCACTACTTAATATTAGCGTTTGAACTGCGCTGCCCAGGCCCTACCCACCATGAGAGCACAAGGGGAGCCAGCATCATAGGGCCGAACAAAAGGCCTTCTCAGGCAGCTCCCGGCAGGAAATGACCAGGCGGAGCAGTCAGCTGCGGCCTGGGCTGGGGAGGGGGCCGTACCAGACAGGCTTCCTGGCCAGGCGGACAGCCAGGCCACAGGAAGGCAGGCCCCTCCCTGGGCCTCAGTTTACTGAGCGCTTACTATGTGGCAGGCACAGAGCAAATGATCAGACAGAACTAAACCTGGGGCCAAGGGCTGAGATGTTCTCCATTGGAAGTACCTGTGATCCAGGAGTCTTTGTGGGTGTGAGTGGGGTGTGACACCTCTGCCCCACCCTCAGTGGCACTCGCAAGAGCCAGGATATCCAGATGGATCAACAGCCTTCCACCACTCAGGGCAAACCTCACTGGGGCATCCTCAGGGATAAGAAATCTCAGCAGGCCACCTCACCCTTAGCCTAGGGTGGCTGCTAGGGTATTGGAACAGGGGTGTCAGAACCACCACTGGTAGCCCACCCCCAGCTAGGCAGTCTGCAGGATGCCCCAGGATTGTGCAGCTGGGGTAAAGACAAGGACTAATTCATGGCAGTACCCGCTGTGGCCAGCCCCCACACCCCTCAGCAAACACATGGAAGTGGCTAATTGCACACCTAAAGGAGTACCCAGCCTGGAGTAGGTGGTGTCACCCTGCATCCCAGGGTCACAACTGTGCCTTCCAGAAAGCCTGCCCAAGGAGGCTCAGCCTGGTCTTCCCCCATTCATACACCTCCACCCACTAAGGGAGCTGGAACAGCTAGTCCCTTTGGCTCTCGTATCCCTGACAGAGCTCACCCGTGACTTGTAACTTGGGGAAGCTAAAGTTTCCTTTTTAATGATCAGACCCAGGTGCAGAGAAAGTCTTCCTCCTATGGGAATCCACCTTTGAGGCTCAAAGGATTGCTTTTTAAATTGAGGTCAAATTCACCTAACGTAAAATTTGCCCATTT